CATCACCTATGGTAGGTAAGTATTTGATCAGGGTGAGTGATACTCACTCTAACAACAAATTTACATCACCTATGGTAGGTAAGTATTTGATCAGGGTGAGTGATGCTCACTCTAACAGCATATTTACATCACCTATGGTAGGTAAGGATTTGATCAGGGTGATGCTCACTCTAACAGCATATTTACATCACCTATGGTAGGTAAGTATTTGATCAGGGTGATGCTCACTCTAACAGCATATTTACATCACCTTTGGTACAACTAGTGCTATATTTTAAAGAGAACGCGTAACATGACGTTTACTGTAGCAAATATGTGGACAGATCGAACCCGCTTTCTATGTTTCCAAAGAAGCTTAGAAAAAAATAATTTAATGATATCGATATCGTAAAAATTAACTTATCTGAGAAATACTCTAGACAATATCGTGAGCTGGTACAAAAGATGCTGGCATTCACTTCTTATAAACATGCCTCCATTTACGATCTTTGCCGAACCGAAGTCTGATTATCTTTTAGACATTTCCCTGAGAGTTCGGTGTTTACTGTAAACACATATACGTCCTATTTAGACTACACAGACAGTCCTCAAACGACTATACCTGTGATATGCTGCCACGAAAAGTGCCCAACACAACGCGTCTGCTACATCTGTATGAGTATGCAGATTGGTATCATGGTTTTCCCGTGACGGTCTCCGGAACTTCCTATAACATCGGTTTTGTATTTTAACTGAAACCCACTTTTATTACTATTTATTTGTTGTGATATCCACACAAGGTGTTTCTTGATAAATACCACTCTGCTTAAGTATGTTTTAATCTACATTTGCACAATTACCAAGTGAAAATTTTCTGAATCTCGTAAATTTGCCAAATGATGCGTATATTTGGGGAGTTAAAGAAGTTCATGCTGCTTCACAAATACTACATTTACAAAATCACTTTTGATGAATTCTACCTCCTTTATCTTGTCACGTTTGTACACCAGATAGTTCAACAAATACTGCTCGGTTAATGTCGGTTTAAAGATGTCCATGTTGGTTGTAATCGTATCCAAACAACATTAACGAGATGGCATATCTGTGACCGAATCTCTAATTATTTCATTTTACGATCAATATTTAATTTAAGGTTATATCCTTTGATTATATAGAATATATTTCCCTTGTCATTACTACAGACTGTGGCGAAACACGACATTCTACTTACACTACCGACCCCATACGGTCAAATCGATGGCCCTAGCTGACCCCTTGTAGTGTCCCCGAATGTAAATGAGGACATCAATGGACCTGACCTGAGCCCAGACAATTCGGACTGTCCAGTCGACAAGATGGATCACTGCCTAGTGGTAATAACTCGAGTTTATTTGACGATTGATCAATGACTATGTTCTATATCAATTAATCGATCTCATCCTCTGCACATGGTCTTTAAGGTATTAGGTTGTAGTTCCGAGGCCGCTATATCTGGAAAACAATTCTACTTTTGTCGACTCGGTCATCCGTCTCCGTTTGTCGGGGAGTGTTCCGTCAGAGAGCAAGCCAATCCCATGTGCAGGACAGTAACAGATTAAACCGTTATAAACGGAAATACCGCCATGATATTTTAGGTATGGCCATAACAGACCGGCATGCGAAAAAGTGATCCTGACACCTGATAAAACCTTCAAAAACGAAGTGGACAATTATGTAGATGTGTATTATACTCAGTTATCACACAGAGCTTTGTACATGGTAGTTTGCATGTAGCGTTAATGTTACTATAATGTATGTAAGCATGCATTTCACATATTACAACCTTACCGAACCTTACACCACGCGACAGCAACAAATAAAGCGCACGAGTGACGTTAAAACAGTGTTTGCCAGTCATCGAGAGACACCTTAATTGAAAAGAGATATATTGGTGCGCCAGAGTTGGTTGTTGATATCACAACTTAATGTTTCTCCGGTCGGATAAAAATATCTAAAATACTGAAAGCGAAAAGGTAATGAAATGGTGTTGTCGTTAACAAACGGCTTTATATTGGGGATGTGCGTTTATTAGTCTCGCTGTGCATGTGGAAATACATTAATATTCTCTTTTGTTTCCGACGTATTGTTCCGTTATTCTTTAGAAATGTTTGATGAAACCAAAATAATTGTCTTCTTAAAGAGCTGCAAACATCATCATCGGTGTCACGCTCGTCATCAAGGACACCCTCGTATCATACTGGGATTCTATGAGGATATAAAGTTCAGGCTGTCTTTCAAAACATTTATATGTAATGTAGACAGAGGTTCGTGGTTAGCTTGTTAGATTGTGTGCTTTTTCTAAATTTGATAAAAACCAAACATGTAAACCCCTGAAACAATCTTGATAATTCATTTTTTCGACCAAAACGTCAATGACATCAGTACAATCTACATCACCAACATATGACTCTTATTATTTTTTTTAAACTTGTCACTTGCCCTGTTCGTAGGGGGTTTGTTGTATCTCTAAGTATTCTCTTCAGAATGGTTACGACAATAGGATAGAAGAAGAATGTGTGACGTTATGATGACTCTTCTGTCACCTACATCAAATGACCAGTGACAAATGTAAAGAGTACTCAGGTATACAGTGTTCGATGGTAATTAAGAAACAGAGCTTTAGAGAACTTATTGCCGCCGATCGTGGACTACAACGGTTCTAACGGTGACTATGTCTCTAAATAGCTAACGAACATTCAAAGACTCTTTAATGGGCACGTGAAAAACTCAGCAGATCTGACAGAATTTATGTCCACTGTCCAGATTCAAAATGATGAGGAACTCGTATCACAAGATGTTCTGTGTGTTTATCGACTACCCCACTGACTAAGCACTTGGTGTCATTTGCAGTCGTTTACAGCTAGATAGATTTTCGCGAAAAAGCACCAAATCCCACATGAAATACATACGTATTTTATGGATTTTCTTGAATAAGTATTTAAAACAAATTTCAATGCATTTAAAACAAATTTCAATTTTCATAATATCATCTCTGAGCAACACTTTTGACTGGCATTGAGCAGCCCAGTGTCTCCAATTGCTACCAACTTGTTTATAGAACATGTGGAGAAAGAATTTATAGCCAATGTTAGAGTACAAACCTAGCCTAAGGAAACGCCATGTATATCAGAGATAGTCAAGAAAGAGTCACGGGATTTAACTGCGCATATCAATATCACAGATACCGCCAACAGAATCAAATTCATATGCGGAAAGTATAAGTCAATAGCCCTTCCTTGACACCCTCCTTGGTAGAAAAAGTAGGATGCACAGTCAAAGTATTGGTTAATGGAGAAACACACACAGACTAATACCTCAAAGTTCAGACTCGCCAACCCTTAGAACAGAAGTTGGGTGGTGTACGAACTGTGCTCAATAGATGTACACTGGGTTTTTTTCAGAAGGTTGTCAAAGAACTTGATAAAAGGAAACAAAACAAAAAACAAAAAAAACAAGAAGACCAGTAAAAAAGAAAAATGAAAATAAACGAAAAAGATGCTAAAATGAAAGGACAAGTAGTCATTCCCTACATGAAAAAGTTATCAGAAACCATTCAGATAATATACCGCGGCCATTACATTACAACACCCATGGAATCTCACAAATCGCTCTGTAATACCTTTGTCCATCTTGAGGATAAAACAAGCTAAGATTCTCGAATTGAGTATACGAGATCGGGTACAAGAATTTCGACGCATCTTAGGTAGGAGAAACTGGAAATAGTTTTGGGGTCCGACTCGATAAACAGCGGAAAAGCATGGAAACCCCAAAAGGCAGAGCAGAGTGGAACGAACAACTCTGCATTCACTTAATTGACAGGAGTAGTAGGTGGGATAAGACTCTTTTCAAGTGTCAGGTCAAAGAAGCCATCTGAACATGCCGGTACTAAACAGGGACAAAGGGGCCCATAAAATCTCGAACATGTATGACCAGATTTAAAACAAAGCGTTGCCAAATCGACTTTTATGAGATTATATTATTATGAGAGTACATATACTCTTTATAGTTACGGACATATTAAGCTATAGATGTCAGCCATTTGAGGTGTTATTGATGTGATATTTCCCAGAGGTGTCGGTGACCGTACAGATTGATATACAAACATCGCGCAGAATGCCACTTTCTGGTCCTCAGGGCACACGACCTCGTCCGGGTAGCACACATGCCCCTGGCGTATACCGGACAAGTGTATCCAGGTGTCTATCATATGTACGTACAGAGTGTCACCTGACAGACTCACCGTAACATTTATCAACACGTTGGACCATTGAAGCTAGCAGAAAACGAATGTCTGTGATACTTCGGACGTGTTTCCTTACAAAATATCAGAATAATATGTCTGTAGCTGTCCTCGTGACCTAACGACAACAATGCTACCTAGTGAAAAACCAACTGGTCAATTCTATCCGGAACTTAATCACATTTACGATCAAGAGAAGTAAAACCATACCAGGTGGTAATGGTACCTCAGGGCACATCGTCACATGCCCGGATCTTGTAAAACAGTTCGAGAAATTTCGAAGTAAGTTTTATTCTTAAGTTCAGGGAAATATTGTGTTTAAATGACACCCGGAAATAGTTAGAGACGGCTGGCAACAGTATGGAGCATAATTAATAAAAGAACACCCGGAAATAACCAACTGTACAGAACTGTTGACGAGGATCTGGAAAAAGAGTCGAAAGCAGTTTTAATTAGAGATTGATGGAAAGTACCCAGCTACACTGGTGTAGAGTTCTCTAGCTGAAAGTGTAAATTATAGCATTAGTGACGACAACACATTATTTCGCTCAGCTCGGTGAAAAGTTACTATTTACGGAAGAAATATTCAGGACTAGAATTGGATATCGACAGAAGATACCTGAACACATACAGATTGGACATTTCAGTACCAAAGCTGGTAATGTGTAGTGATGACTTAGTCAGTATATTGGCACGAAGTCCAATGTTGTGTTGTCGGCTATTTCCAGGACCAGTTTTGGCCATGTTGATGCTAGTGTTTGTTTCTTGTGCTTTGTCTGTGACCGGGAAAGATATCTCGAGTCAAACCCAATGTCTACCAGAGTTTGGATGTTTTGTTTCGGATGGAGTCGTCCCTGTTCCGCAAAAACCAACCACTGTCAACACACATCTGAAACTGTTCACGCGTTCGAACTCGCACAGTCCGATCACGAGCTTTGCGGTAGACAAATTCGCCAGTGATATTAGTCAATTTTCTACAGTGTTGAATACCACCAAACACACTAAATTCATTATACATGGATATCTGGATTCCGGAACTAGTTCTTGGATCATAGAACTGACAAGAGAGCTCCTTCGGAAAGGGGACTTCAACGTGATCGTGGTGGACTGGAAAAGCGGAAGTAATCAGCAATATAACCTTGCTGTGGGTAACTCGTTTTTGATTGGGGCGGAAGTGGCTAAGGTACTGACATATCTTCACGAAAACCAATCGCTCAACTACGGTCGGGTACACATTATCGGCCACAGCCTTGGGGCCCAGGTCGCTGGACATATTGGGTACCGGGTCAAAGGGATTGGTCGTATTTCCGGACTGGACCCTGCCGAGCCAGACTTTCGTGACAAAAGCGCAGATAGACGACTTGACCAAACTGATGCAACTTTGGTGGACATTATCCATACCGATGGGTCAAAGTTTAAACTCTTATCAGGCTACGGCTTGCTGAGCCCGATCGGCCATATGGATTTTTATCCAAACAGGGGCCAACATCAGCCCGGATGTGACGAGAAACCCATAATCAGTGCCATAAACAGCATACTGCACGGATCCGTAGGTGGAGCCACTAACTCCGTTACATGTAGTCACCATCGTGCTGTTGACCTATATATTGAATCAGTCAATTCCTTCTGTAAGTTTTACGGACATGCGTGCTCATCAGCGTCTGAGTTCGACAACGGCGCGTGCATGGGCTGCCCCGCAAGTGGTTGCCCTGTAATGGGCTACGATGCCGACCGATCCCTCGAACGGGGTTCCTTTTACCTCAGTACGGCCTCGTCTAAACCCTTCTGTGCGCGTGAGTACTATGTGGAGATACACGTGTCTCATTTCGCAAGTACTTCATATGGAGAACTTTTAGTGACTCTGATGGGTGAAAACGGGAAATCCGAAGAAATAAAATTTTCCCCGCGTAACGAGTATTTCCGGCATGACCAGGTGGAGAAACACGTTATAGGTATAAACATCGATGTTGGCCACGTGACGTCACTGCGCGTGAAGTATCAGGAACCAAGACACAACCAGCATACGTCACACACGGCTCATGAAATTCGACTGCATAGCGTCATTATCGGGCCTACAGATAACTCAAACGATAGAATAAAATTCTGTGCACACGAAGACGGCGTTCATCCTGATGGCAGCCTCACCTTGTCCTCGCTCTGGGGGTGTTAGTATCCTCTGTAATAGGGCACAACAAAGAGTTGTTTTAGTTATTGACCTCTCTGTGGTAGGCCCAACTCTCGGCCGACTGGGCTGTTAGGATTGTCGTCTTCCGTATTCAAACATGGCGATATGGTTGTTTTCTGAAATAAAATCGTTTTTATATGAAACTGTGTCTTTTTTTGCTCCCTTTTCCTGTCGATGAAATGGACAATAATTTCCCTGCGCTGCCAACTTCTTTTTAGAAATGTTTGATAGCACAAATAAGTGTCTTCTTGAAATGCTACAAAACTCATGTAAGGCGACAGCAGGGGCGCATTATAAAGCAAACGTACACACACAAATGTCGCGTTTTAACGGTTTTTCACTGAAAATTGAAATCCACAACTGTTCTCTAAACTATTATATTTGGCGCTCTGTACAAGATCAAACACGGCAACAATGAATGGCTTCGAATGTAAGGTGGTTTGTAGTCTATAAAGTAAAACACTCCTCAGCCTGGGTCGCTAACATGACAATACATTACAGAATTATCTATAAAAAACAACAACAAACGAACATGTTAAGTCGTTTATGATGTATTGATATTGTACCGTGAGGTTAACCATGCCACATCCCGATCTCGTCAATGCCAGACGATTTTTACCCATTACAACCACCAGTGTCATGAGCTTTTAACGTGACTTGCCTTAATCTGTCATTCTCCGCGCCAGCTAAAGTAGAACACAGTAGCTGCTCAACTTGGTAATGTTTCTCTTTAAAATTGCTTTTGACGAGTCGTTTTTAATTTTCTTTAAAACGTCAACATAATTAACATCTTACATCATATTTTGTTTCAAATTTAATGTCTTTTATTCTAAGTGTTTAAAGGTGAGCTGTTAAAGTTGCGGATACACTCCCACTTGGGTGAGAACATTCCCTTCTCTCCCTTTTGAAGTAATAGAAGCATAACACTATTAGTTTTAATTATTTCCCCGTATTTTGAATTGTTTACTCTTTATATTCTTCGACTACCATCTAGTTTAATGTAAACATTAAATAATCCATAATATATATTGTTCTATATAGAAATTATCTTAAAAAAACACTATGGTGATGATTATTGAAAGGTTCCAGGCGTGACCTCACAATCCTCATTCAAAGGTATGGTCGTTATGACAACATCATCCTCACAAGTATGGTCGTTATGAAGACACAATCCTCATAGGTATGGTTGGTTTTAATATGTATCAATGCATAGTATTCTCGTCAACACGGTCACTGTAGACGTATGAGTACATGATACTCCTTGATGTGGTCGCTTTTCACAGGTTCTGATCAACATAATCGCTGTTGATAGTTTGACTACCTGTCAATCAATATCATGTTCACTGTAGATCTGTGTTACTGCATTCTACATCGTGGTGTTTGTTATTAACAGGTATTTCTTCATATAATACTCAATAGTATGGTCGCTGAAGACAGGTATGATTATTAACTCATCATTGTAATGGTTGTTTATGATAGATAATGACGTGGATAATATCTCTAACTTTGATGGTCGCTATAGACAGGTATCAGTGTACATTTTGATCATTGTAGACAGGTTTGATTACCTACTGTCTATACAGCCTGGTTAATCGTAGTATTGTCCCTGTCATTCCACGTTGTCAACACCAGTATCACACACAGTGGTCGTTAGACGGAGTTTGAATATATATGTTACATTCCGATCAGTTTCCGTATACAATGTGTATCTGTTTCAAACATTTATTTGAATTTTATTTCAAAAGACAAATATACAAATAAATTTTAAAAAATCAAGAAAACAACAGTGAAATAGTGTATAGAGATAGTGTATAACACTGTAAGGAAATCGGACACAAACATTTAGAGATTTAAGAGTGTATATCCAGCCAGCGGATTCCGGCTTGACGTACATATACTTACAAATCCTGATCATGTTAATCCGAATGATGGAGTTTACCGAGGTACGATAAAATCAAAGAGAGGATTATAACTGACAGTCTTTATACATCCTTACAAACACACAAGTCCGATCTATCGCATGCACTCGTTCAGAAAATCTCTGTTAATGTCGTTTTAAGTCAAAGATTTCAAAGGTTATCTTTTCAACTGATCTTTAATTATTTTGTATCAAAGGAAACATGCTTTCTTTCATTATGAACTGATCTGAATATTTTATATACTGATGCTTTGATAAAACCAACCAATCCCACGGTCACGGAAAGGATGAAACGGAGCACAGTCACTGTAACCCGTGCAGATGATGCTAAACTTCCAAAAAATGCCGGGGTTATCTAACTTACCGGGAAACAGGGCTTTTGGTGCTATATTTTTCTCAGTAATTTAACATTGTCATAACTACATACTGTCTGGAAACGCACCCGTCATCGCAAGCCTATTTATACACAGATCTTTATAAGGATATGCACGGGTTCGTGACTAACATACATGCATTAGAAACACATGTAATTACATGCTGAAGTGTAATGTAGGATTTCTCGCAACTTAATTCCCTTGGGAAATAACCTAATACGTAGTTTGAATGATGGATTGCTTATATACGCACAATAACTCATCTTTCACAATGTCTCTTTTCCTGTTCGGATATAGAGTAACCATAAGAAAGAATTAAGGCTATATGCTACATTATTAATCATATTTGTTACCTTTTATCAGAGTTATCAACCTTTGTCACTTTTGCGAGTATCATTTAAATATTTCGTCAATTTTTTCACAGAATCTCATCGGATTTTTGGAGATGAAGTGATATTCTTAAAAGGGTTGCTATCCATTATATTCTTTTAATTCTATCTAGACTTGATGCAGAGTTATCTGCTCTTGTGAGCATGCATTGACTGTTTTGTCATTTGTTTGTGAGAGTCATAATGAGAAAACCACGTAATTTTCTCATGTAAGCATTTGACGAACCGGACAACAGCAGATAATTTGCATTACGAAAAGAATGATTGGGACATGCCTTGATACAAAAATAACAAAAAAAAAAAAAAAAATGTTCAGAATAATTTTTCAGAAGTCTAGCCCTGCTTCAAGCTTCACTCAGAATTCAATAAGGATATTGCAACGTGTACTGTCATTTTCTGTTAAACGAGAAAACCCCGTGATATGGCACGTATTTTTTCCCAAAAATATGCAAAGGGAGATGAGAAATAGCAAGCCAAGAAAACAAGCAACTGATCAGCTCCAATTGAAATGACGCCATTTAGTAATCACTGAAGAATTGAGTTGCCAATTCCTGGCCGACCGTACAAAAGAACACAGGCCTTAAAATTTGTTGAAGTCTAGGTGAAAATAGATCTATTCTGGTGTGTTTAGAAGGTAATTTGACGTCCTTACGCCGTAGAGGGGTGTCATATTTACCCTAACTAAATCAACAATCTTCCAAAACAAGCCAGAACTGATAACAATAACGACCGGCGCCCTTTTCGCCCTCCGAGTACATAGACATACATTAGAATCAAACGAATGAATAAAAACAAATTTATATTCAATAATTTCCGGTAGACGTATTCGCTATAATTGTTATCAATCTGACAGAAGGCAATGCATGTCCAGCATATCACTGTCTCAAGTCCATGTTAACAGAAGCTGGTGAATTATAACGGAAGTGACGTCATCTTTATTAAAAATGACCTTGGTCCATATGGTTTCCACGATGTGTATTATGTTAAACCCAGTTATTCATTATTTAGCGTTGACCTACTTTCTTCTGGTTGTAATACAATATACGATGTAGAACTATCAGAACGCTACATCACAAGAGGCACCCTGGGCCCTAACTGTCATTTAACTTGATAAAGACCAAAATATGATACACTGCCTGGTAACAGTAGCAGTGGTTGTGGAGGCTTGAATGTTAACAACACTATGTCGGCTTCACTTCCTTAACATCCACTAATTTTCAGTTCAATGGAACCAGCAGAACTTGAAAAGAAGTTTTGAATGTGTTTTTCAAGATGGCGTTCACGACTGCTATATTGGATTTCAGATCAACCTGAGCAATAATCACACTTGGTAAGGACTACTTCGAGATCATTTCAGGCAAGTTTCACCTCTATCCACAAGTCAAACTTGAAAAGATTAAAAACGAAAAAGTTTACGCACGGAGCACAACGACGAACGGAACATGATGGCTGCAGATCATAGTAACCGTTCGAGTTAGATAACCAAAACATGTAGAGAGCATTCATTGAGGTGATTTCCATCCAGATACATACATTAGGTATTTACTGAATTTGTTCAATTAAATCATCATACTTTTCCCCGACATACACGTTGATGTTTTTACATACAACAGCAGATGAAAGCGAATCTTAAGGCCGCTTAATTTTGAAAGTTATAAAGCGCTCAGAAACATACGGTTAATAATGGCGAACCCTTAGAAATACTTTGTGTGGAAATTCACGAGGATTTTAAAATCCCAACGACACCAATATCCTGCACATGATCGGCTTGTACAGCTACATGGCAGATGGAATTTTAATCGCAGCACGGAATTGGAACATCCGGTTCTTCGATTGAATAAAAATATATTGACAGAAAAAAAAAATGTTTTTAACATTTTCATGAGGGAAATAGAAATATTTCAAAAGTCTGAAATAATACAGATAAATTTGGCAATCATAATCGTGTGTTACCAAGCTGCTTGATCACTTCTCTATGGCGAATCGTGTGCAGACAACTATGGTATAATTGAACGAGACTAAAACGCATGCTGCCAGAGACATGTTGAAAAAAATATAATTTAAACCAATCAAAATAAGAGCACATCCGATTTCCTGTTTACCTTATCACAGGTTATACATCATCTCCTACACGGAATATGCCGAAAGTTCCCGATTCGGCAAGAAAAGTTGGATGTTAAGGTACTTCCACCCTAATGGACCACTTCCGGTTATAATCCCGACGAATGCCGACGTTTTATAGATCGTGAATTTTCGGAAGTCAAAGAGTTGACGTTCATGCCCTTAATTTTAGCGGGGAAAAGG